ATATTTATACTTCTCATCCAAACACAATTAAATTCACTCTATCCAGGAGACACAGTTTGTCAGGATAGGATTTTTTAAGTAACAACTCAGAATAAAACAGGAGTAACAACTTTCTACTTCTTACCTTTTTAAAAAATGTAGTGAGTAGAAAGTACAGATAATTGTGTAAAAATGTAATGAGTAAAAGCAAAAAGTACGCTGAAAAATAATTACTCAAAGTAAAGTACAGATAACCAAAATTTCTGCTTAAGTACAGTAACAAAGTATTTGTATTTAGTTACTTTACAACTCTGYTTTTTCTTTACTTTCATGACAACTGCTCTGCATCCTGTCAGACTTTTTATCCTTTTACAAACGCCATAAATTTGACTTTACACTGAGGGTAAAGACGCTGAAACTTTAAAATAAAATTTAAAATAAGGTCAGGAAACACCAGCTTCAGCTTTAAAGTCGACTTCAWCACATTTATGTTCCTAAAAGATTCAATAAAATCTGCTTTAATCACATTTTTAGCTTTTATTGGGCCAGGGTTTTCTGTAAACGTACACTACGCGGTCACTTCCCTGTTTCCTTTACAGCGAAATAAAAGTTCCTTCTTTACGCAACTTCACTAAACCACGCACACGCACGTCAGCCGTGTGTCCACGAGGCGTTGAAACATTCACGGTTTTATTCCTGTGAAAGTCTAAATTCTGCGTCAGCCGCGGAGAGAAGCTGCTGTCTGCTGAACATGAACACCTGGAGTCAGCGCCGCGGCTTCCTCTCAGCTTCCTGTTTCACTCCAGACCCTCTGAGCCACTGTCAGGGCCTCTTTCTGTCCGTCTGTTAGCAAAATATCTGCTGAACCAGTGGGAGGAAGCTGTCAGAAAACAATCACCTACGTCTGATTATTGTTAGGAGTCTTTGATTCAAGATGGCCACCACAGTAAACAAAGAAACGCCTGTGATTCAGTCAGTTTCAGTGATAATGAGCTACAATTTGCTACAATATACTATGTATATATA